GATACTACTCACTGGAGATTCTACCTTCCTCCAGGCCCTCTGGATCTAGGTTCCCTCTTGAAAGCTTGTAAGCCAGTCACTTCTTGCCTTTGTAGCTCCCCACCCCCCATTTTGAGTAGCCAATGTCCAAGTTGCCCATCCCTGTCTACTTCTGTGTGTGGAGGGGAACTAAGTTCATTCTTAAGATTTATTGTTCTTTCTGGAAAATACATGAATTAGTTCAATCTGATCATTCTTAACTCCAATTACTGGGTAATGGATAATATTGTTATCCAAATATGGAAAGGGAGGCAGTTGTACTAAATTGGGTTAAACTTTATGGAAAAGGTTCAACTTGAATAAATTTCTTTATTGGATCCCTTCCTCCTTTTCCTCCCAAGAATTTAGGATGGGGCCGGAGAAAGGCTGGGAGCAAAAGAGTGTTCTGAAAATGGAGATAGAAATACTGAAACTCAATATAAATGCTTCACATTTTGGCTCTGTCCAGACCTGCAAATGCAAAGACTGTCATAAAATTTGAGAAGGCTTCACTGAGTTGCTTTCTAAAGCTTGGGTTTCTCTGCAAGAGCATCTGTAATTACAATGCTGCTTCCAAAAACAGCAGATAGAGTGTTGGTATGGGCCACCTCTATCCATGTTGTGGCCAGCCTCCCCAGGAAGGAGGGATGCTGGTGCCCCAGCATCATTCTGCTCTTCCTGGAAGCTATGTTGTATTTGTTGGTGCTGTGAAGACCTGACAATGAAGTCTGAGCCTTGTGTCTGTAAGTGAAATAAGGGCGGGAATACAGATGGTATACAGCTTTTTTCCAGCCCTGTCTCTCCTGTCCGATGCACAGCCACGAAATACACATAGGATAATTATGTGACTTACTGATAAACCCCAGTGTAAGAACTCATGGGCTCAAGCTGTAATGGCATTTTAGTCCCTCTCAAAGTTATAAGGAACCCTGGTGGCACAATGGATCAAGTGTTGAGCTGCTAATTTGGGAACCCTCTAAGTCAGAACCAACTCAATGGCACACAGTCAAATGTGTAGCCAGTTTCTGATTATCTAATTTAGTTGACCAAGTCTTTTGGTTTTACTCTAGCCAGCTTTTAGACAGATTTATTTCTTTTGACTTGTTTCCTCTAGTAACTAACAGCCATCCCACTGTGAGACAAAATTCTGATGTGTCCAATTTTCGTATTTGAAAGTAGGTATGGTTCCTAAGAAGGATAAAATATATTGAAAATCAGATTTTGGGCCTGTTTGTCTGTGATTGTTCGTGGTGAATGTTTGTCTCTGATTATCATAGGTAATTGATAATAGGTAATAAAGTTAATATTGGATCGAGTAAAGTAACCTGAGTGAGATTAATCTCAGAGAAGCCAGGTGATGGAGTTCGAAACCTGTCCAAAGGTGGAACTGTTTTTCCTAGATTAGTACTTTTCCTGTGTAAACTAAGTTGGTTCTTTGAGACATTTTATTTTTCCTGTAAAGAATCCAGGCTTTATAATATATGTTAACACCATGGATGAACATTGAAAGTATGCCAAGTGGAATAAATCAGTCACAAAAGTTTAAATATTATATGATTCTACTTATATAAACTAGGTAATTGTCAATTAGTTGTTAGTGGCTACCAGTTTGGGAAACAAGAAGGAAAAGGGGGAGTTATTGCTTAATGGACACTGAAATTTTGTTAATGGTGGTGGGGTATTTGGAAAAGGAGATAGTAATGCTTAGTCTAAGGAGCTCTGGTAGCATAGTGGTTACGAATCGGGCTGCGAACCTTAAGGTTGGCAGTTTGAAAGTACCAACTGTTCCACGGGAGAAAGATGAGGCTTTCTGTGCCTGTAAAGATTTACAGCCTCGGAAACGCTGTACAGGGTCGCTGTGGGTTGGAATCGACTCGACAACACTTAACAACAACAACAATGGTTAGTCTAAGGAACCCTGGTGGCACAGTGGTTAAGTGCTCAGCTGTCAACCGAAAGGGCAGTGATTTCAAACCACCAGTTACTCCATGGAAGAAAAGATAGATCATCTGTTCCTGAAAAGATTGCAGCTGAGGAAACAACACGGGGCAGTCTTACTCTATCATATAAGATCACTATGAGTGGAAATCAACTTGATGGTATACAGCAACAATGGTAGCATAGTATGAACATAGCCTGTGAAATGGAATTATACATACAAAAATGGTTCCCAATGTTTGGTTACATACTTTTTCCACAATTAGAAAAAGCAAGAGACCAGTCAGACTTTAGAAAGCCAGGCAGTTTGTTGATAAGTTTCGGGAAATATTAAGAGGTCCATAGTGACATTGGGTAAAGGTAATTTGTTGAGGAAATGAGGGTTAAACTGTTAATGAAAAATATCATTTACCAATAGTACTGGAGTATGTTTGGAAAGATGTAAGGAGTTAAGAAGGATTTAATGTTATATATAAATAAGATCCACATACTGTTTAGAGTGCTATCTACTTTTTAACTACTCACCATTAGCATTTTAACTCAGGCCTAACTCATCATGTGGTATAAATCAAAGATGAACACACGGTTTTGCGCAAGAAAATCTTTAACCTGTGGAATGGCTCAACTGTTGGCCGTATTAACTTGTTCCTTGTTTATTTCTAGGGGATTGATGATATCACTGGTGAACCATTAGTCCAGCAGGAAGATGATAAACCTGAAGCAGTTGCTGCCAGGCTAAGACAGTATAAGGATGTGGCAAAGCCAGTCATTGACCTATACAAGTGAGTGTGCTCCAACATTTTCATGGTGGTGAGCCAGCTAGAAAAGTGTGGAGTCTGGTGGGTGGTGTGTTGGGCAGAGTCAGAGTTGTTGTTTTGGTTTTTAGGTGCCATTAAGTTGGTTTCAATTCATATCGACCCTGTGCACAACACAACGAAACATTGCCTGTTCTGCTGTGCCATCCTCACAATCATTGTTAAACTTTAGTCCGTTGCTGCTACCTACCACTGTGTCAGTCCACCTCCCTGGGCCTCCCTCTTTTTTGTTGGCCCTCTACTTTACCAAGCATGATGTGCTTCTCCAGGGACTGCTCCCTTCAGATAATATGTCCAAAGTATGAAAAACCAAGTTTCACCATCCTGGCTTCTTAGGAGCATTCTGGTTGTATTTCTTACAATACCGATTTGCTTGTTCTTCTGACAGCCCATGGTACTTTTAATATTCTTTCCAACTGTGCCAGTCTATTGCATTGGGGTAGTCGTCTCATTCTTCTCCTTCCCTCCACCTTACTAAACATAATAACCTTCTCCTGACAATATGTCTGAAGTATGAGAAACAAAATCTGGCAATCTTGATTTACAAGGAGCATTCTGGCTGTACTTATTCCAACACAGATTGGTTTGTTCTTTTGGCAGTCCACAGTATTTTTAATATTCTCTTCCAGCACCATAACTCAAATGCTTCAATTATTCTATGGTCTTCCTTATTCACTTTCCAACTTTCATATGCATATGAGGTTATTGAATTTACCAAGGCTCGAGTCAGGTATACCTTAGTCCTCAAAGTGACATATTTGCTCTTGAAAACTTCAAGAGGTTTTATGTAGCAGATTTGCCTCATTTGATTTCTTGACTGCTGATTCCATGAGTGTTGATGGTTGATCTGTGCAAAAGGAAGTCTTTGAGAACTTCAATCTTTTATCCATGTATTGTGATGTTATTTATTGATTGAGTTGTGAGGATTTTGGTTTTATGTTGAGGTTAGAGTAGCAAAGTTGACTAATGATTTGATTTTCAGAAGTCTATATTGAGGCTTACTTATGATTATTCATATAATGTTATAGGATAATCCTAACAATGTTATTTTAAAAATATGTTTTAAAGAGGAGGAAAAAAGCTCGCATTATGCAAACATGTTAGATTTGCAGAAGGTATCGATTTATGTTCAATGGGGCTGTTTTGTACTTTTGAAAGTCACTGACTGGGTACTTGTTGTTGTTGTTAAGTACTGTGGAGTCGGTTCCGACTCATAGCGACCCCGCACAGGGTTTCCGAGGCTGTAAATATTTACGGAAGCAGAATGCCTCATCTTTCTCCCGTGGAACCGCTGGTAGTTTTGAACTGCTGACCTTGAGGTTCGCAGCCCGATTCATAACCACTATGCTACCAGAGCTCCTTGAATGGGTACTCAGTGATGTGTAATTAAACCATTAGATCATGCTTGTTGTGTACCTAGTATCGTCATCTGTCTAAGTCGTATGTTAAATGGAAACTTAAAATGGCTTTCTTTCTTGGATTTTGTTTTTCAGGAGTCGAGGAGTGCTCCACCAGTTTTCTGGGACAGAGACGAATAAAATCTGGCCCTACGTTTACACACTTTTCTCAAACAAGATCACACCTATTGAGTCCAAAGAAGCCTACTGAGCTTGCCCAATGGAAGAACCAGGAAAATGTGGTCATTCATTCAATTGTGTGTGGAGTATTGGTGTCCAAATTAGAAGCTAGCTGATTCGTGTCTTTTCTAGCTTAAATGGTGAACTGATATGAAATAATGAGTAGAAAGAATTAAAGAAGAGCCTCTCTTTGACCTTTCCAAAGGAGGGCGCCCTAGACATGTTTAAGATGTCGCTGCACAGGTCTCAGGCCTTCATGAAAAATCAAGTATAAGCTGGATTTCAAATGGTGTATAATGTAAGCTCTTGCTAATTTTGACTGCCATGTTGCTGCTCTGGTAGCCTTTTTACATGTGAAGGGATTGGTCTCTGGTTCTCCCCTCAAAGGCTGTTGAACTACAATACCAGTTCCCTGGAATGTGCCCTTCTGGGGACAAGGGAATTGAAGCCAAATGCTCTTAGTGGTTGCTTCTCTAGTCTTGAGTGACTGTAACTATACAGTTCATTTTTTTTTTTTTTTTGGTTGAGTGATAACCTTCTTTTCCACATTAATGCTCCATTGAATCTCTCCTTTCCAGACATCCTAGAATTAAAGGATTTGGCTTTTGTTAGTTTTATTAGGCAGTATCATTTCTACTTTGTTCTCTCCCTTCCTAGTAATACTGATTGTTAAGTAATACTGGTTGTTGCTTTCATTCCTCTTAAATTTCTTTTCTAAGAGCTGAGAGATAGGCGACAATGTCGATTTCTTCATACACCAGGAACTGAGCTATGCAGAAGGCCTGCTCATCTGACCCTCCTGGGTTTACAGGGCTCCTGTTTTCTATCATGAGAAAAATTAAATCCCCCAAAGCTTCCTGGGAAACTTCAAAAACATGAGAAATATCACCCACACAAATATTGAAAGATCTTTATCTCATGTATAGAAGTAATAAGATCATCTGAAATTTTTGAACTAAAAGAATATTTTAGCTCTCTATTCAAGACAACAAAAAGTGTATTTTGAAAATGCTGCTGAATATTGATGTTGACAGTGTATTTCTCCTGCAAGTGGCCCAAACATGCCATAAATAGTAAAAGGCATGGAGCTTGTGAGGTTGAAGAAAATGTTGCACTCATTGTGCTGAGACTGAATCTGATAACTTTATGATTATGGGAAAACAAAACCTTTTCTTTAAAAAAAAATTTCTTCTATTCCAAAGATACTTTCTGTGGAGTGACCACAAAGTCTAGAAATATAGATAATACTGGTTGTTGTTGTTGTTTTTGTGTGTGTGTGTGCATTGTAATGCCTTATCAATAAACAGTTTATTAAGGTGTCGCCTGTTTTCCAGACTTGGTGGCCACTCTGCATAATTCTTGCTCTCCTCTGGGAAGGACAGTGACCTTCATTCTTGCTGCCTTAAAAAAAAGAATAATGCCTCCCCCCCTCCACACACAAATAAATAAAATACATGTCTTTTCTACATGCACCATGAATGATTGTTTTGATATTCCTGAGGGTAACTTCTGTCTAATCCTTCATATTGATGGGGGAGCATGTATGTGTGGAGGGGAGACAGGGGCTGTCTATTTCAGGACTTTTGTGATATTGATATTGAAACACGTTATTTATTCTCTGAGGTGTCCCATGAATTCCCAGTCAACTCAGTGCCATCCACTTTCTGTACAATAACATGCAACTACTTTATAAACATGTTCCAACTCGATGGCACCTGACAACAACAACAACAACACTTTATAAATATGACCCAGATTCTTGGCAGTTTCTCTCCTTTTGTCCCTTCATGTGAATGTTCTTTAGCTCTCTTGGTGGAAACAGTGAGCTTCCTTCACCTCTTCTTCCCATTTACAACAAAATGAGATAGTTTATTTTTCAGTTGTAAGCAACTAAAGTGACCAGATTTCTGAGAGGTCATTGTATTCTATTGACTTCTGAGCACTTTATAAGAGTTGTGTTTGAAAGCCAGTTGGTGAGGCTAAGGTGAAAATCTGACATAAATAATGCTCAGGTTTCCTGGAGAACCAGGTAATAGAGAAAATCAATCTGTATGAGAAAATCATACAGTTTAGTCTATTTCTACAAACTAGGAAATTGAGTGTTATGGTTATTATATGATTAATTCAAAAGAATTAAGTGTGTGTGTGTGTGTGTTTTGTTTTAAATTTTTATCTTTGGAAGCAGAACAATTTTCCAACCAGTTTCCTTCACTTCTTTGTGTTTTGACATTCTGGTGTAATCATTGCCTTTGTAGTTTGAGAGAGAGAGAGAGAGAGGTATAGGAAATAGCCTGGTCTCTGATTCCATACTCCTTATTCTTCCTTCCATCCATCCGTCCATCCATCCATCCATCCATCCATCCATCTATCCATCTATCCATCCTCCATTCATCTTTCTTTCCCTCCCTTCTCCCTTTTTTTTTTTTTTCCTTCTCCCTTTTTGCTAGACAGACAATTATCACCACTGTTGGAGTCCCCCAGAATGTGTCAACAATGTGTGCTGTTGCTTGGATTTCCCAGAAGTTGAGGGTCGTTTACTAGATGAGACCACCAAAGTCAAACAGAGGTCTTTCAGTGGTACTTGTTTCATGTTTAAGAGCCTGAAAACTCTGTTTCTGGTTTTATTCAACAAACACTTTAGTTTCCTTTAAGTAACTTTGTAAAAATTGAAATTATCTTGAAAAGACATTGAAAAAATTAATTTTCCCCCCCTTCTTTCACCACACAAGGAGTTCCTCACACTTAAGCCAAAAGAGCAGTTTGGATGCTAAGGCTCCTACCCTGCCTGACATTCTATGGTTCTAGTGAACTCTTAATTCAGTTTGCTTTTCATTATCATAACAGGCTTTCCATTTACTTAGGACTTGAAACTACTCTAGTGTTTAATACCATTTAACACTAATGCAAATATATAACTGGTACCATTTATTGAGGGTTCATTGAGTGATATATGTGATCTTAGGATCTGTACGAACATCTCATTTCGTTCATCCTGTGAAATAATCGTATTTATAAATGAGAAGGCCAGATCTTGCCTGGCATCCTGTTCTCATTGTACAGTGTAGCCAGGACTCAAACACAGGTCTTCCTGATTGTAAAGCCTGAGTTTGTTCCTGCATGTCAACTCCCTGTCCTGTCCCAAGCAACCCAGGGCTCCAAGCCTGGTTGATTCTGCTTGTATATTCAAATAGCCTCATTTCAAGATTGTCAGAATTTACTATGGTGACATTTACGTCTGCAAGGGACTGTTCCTTTTTGTTTGATTGTTTGTTTGTTTTTTCTTTGTTGAAGCAAAGAAAGCTGCTGGTAGGGGAGTCTGAGCCTGTCTCCTCCATCCGCACTTTTATGAATAAAGGAGACTGTCCAAGTTGACCGAGCTTCCGTTCAGTCCAGTCTGTGGAGGAGGCAGGCTCTTGTTCGGCATCTACCCTTTTGGTGTCCATATGTTGTGCCCCTAAAGGGGCCTTTACCCTTGAGCCATCCCTAGCTGTGGTGCTCACATGTAGACTGGACCCCTTGAAGCAATCCAGACACTACTTACTTGTCTTGGCTGAGATCACCCCCAAGATAATGCCCTTTCTAATGAACTAATTCATTTACAAAGCTTGCAGGTCAACAAAAGGTGATTGAGCTCCTAGTACAGGTAGCTGTTGCCTTTTACCTCCTTCCCTATAATACACATCAACATGATTCTGATTGCCAAGTCAAGGCCTTTGCCATCTGACCTAGGGATCAGTCATGTGATGACACTGCTTGCCATCTAACAATTTAGTCTCACTTGGGCAGTAGCCAGGGGAGATTTGCTTCGTATATTATCTTTTTTCCCCAAGGACCATTCCTCTGCCACCGTCCACCAGCCAAGCCCCAATCATCTTCTGATTCTTTCAGAGTGGGCTCTTCTTTAGTAAGGAAAGGAAAAGGTGAGAGTATCCATGTGGGAGGAAGGGTTCCTGGAGAGAGATGATGCATTGGCTTTCCTCGCCATTTTAAATGTTGAGACAAGACAATTTTAGTAAGAAAAGTGGCCTGCACGAACCCTTATATTGTGCTTTTATAGAATTTAGTTTACTGAAACATGAGTTTGATGATTCAACTAAAAAGCAAGAGCTAACTTAGGACATTAACCTCTGAAAGACAGTTTAATCACCTTGCTAGAGATCTTTGCTCAAAGCATAAAGGTGACAAATTTCAAGTATAAGCATCCTTGTTATGTGTGGTACTTAATGCTAAGTGCATTACTTTGTCACATCTAATTAAATCTCTGTAATAAATATGCTGGTTATCCTGCACCCTTGGTCTTGGAAACAATCCTGTTGATTTAAACAAATGTTTTCATTTATCTATTGGGATTAATCAGGATACTCAAAAGGGTCTTTATAGGTATCTTTTGCTAGTTGGAGCTTCACCATTCTCACTTAGAGGTTAAACTTAATGTGTTTTGCCGGGAATCTTTCCTTTTGCTGTTCTGCAGCTGAGAGAGAAAAGGGTATCCAATGAGCATTGCATCTGTTGTCTGTTCTGTACTCTGCTGGATTCTAGGCTCTTGAGAGGCATTGTTTTTATCTGTTTGACTTTGTTTATTACCTTTCATATAACAGTATTTGATTTTTTTAAAAGAGGCAATTCATAAGGTAGTGACCTATACTTATTCTCTCTTTATATTCTCCTGTCCTCTGTTCTCAGTAACAATCTAGTCTATTAGTATGTCTGAAAAAGAACCCAGTAATGCAGACTTTTGTTTCACATGGGAATGTGATCTGGCCATAAGCTCTCATCCTTCTATACATAACTGGCCCAGTCTGATTTCCAGATGAGAATGTACAAGACCCAGATGTCAGGAAACTGTGAAGCCATCTATCAACTTTGAAAAAAAAATCTGCTTCCTGCATCTGTTGAGATATAACATCATCAAAATTGCTCATAAATGCTGTTCTTTATCTGTTTTTTTGAACAAATTGCACAGTTCTTGCCAAAATAAATGCTATTATCAATGTGCTCCAGGGAATTCCAGAAGATGAAAATCATTGTGTGTATTTGTGTGTTATAGCAAAATAT